CTGAAACGTCACCGGGACCAGCTGACACGCAAAATTCTGCAGGCTTTGGAGATAGAAAGATTAGCCGCCATGTGTGTCAGCAGTCCTTCTGATGCCTTATCAAGAAAAGAGATAAATTTTCTGGCCTCTAGATTAGCTTGGTTTTAGCGCCTGCCCTCTGTCTGTCTTTTTAGAGGCGATACTTCGTTTTTCGTACTTTTTGTTTTGTGTTTTTTAGGCTGATTCTTTTCCTTTTCCGTTCTCAACTGTGTGCGTATATATTGCACTGTTGCGTCAAATAAAATTTAGTTGCGAGTCAGCTCTCTGTTCGTGTCTTCCTTCATCCAGTCTGTCGTCTTCTTGCACTGCTTTCATCTTTTAAGTATGTCGTACCAACTCGCCCAAGCTTCAACCTTATAGTGATGATATATATAGTGTACTATAATCTGCACGTAATAAAGAAAATGGGCTTAGTATTTTACTAAACAATTCGGGTTTACTTTGGACATTCAAATGTTCACAGAAACATGGTACTATGAAGAAGGTGACGTTATACACTCGGAGAAGTACAAAACATTTTATTTAAATCGCTCTGGTAGACGTGGTGGCGTTGTATGTATCCGAGCAAACAAATGTGTCGAGTTCGAACTCATACACCGATTTTCCGTGATTAATGAAGACTATGAGATATTGACTTTCAAACATAACGGCTTTTTATTTTCAGTTCTGTACCGCCGGCCAAGCGGCAATATTTATCAGTTTACTGCATTTATTGAGTCCCTATTTTAGTACGTAGGAGAATACGGCCTCAGATTATTTTGGGAGGATAGTTTAACATTGATATGTTAAGCGATTAAAAACAAGAAAGAGAGTTTATTATGTTGATTGAGTATTTTGGATTTGCTAATATTATAAATTTTGCGTGTTGTGAGATGTTTAATCAATGATCATCTACCCATGTATATTTGTGTCTATCAAAATTTGCCCCAGGTAAACGTAAATGATGCTCCTTCATTTATATTTCAAGACGCGTCGTTCACCGCCCTAGAAAGTTTTAAGAACCAAATCGAACATGCGAACTGGGATACGGTAGTGTCTACGTACTCTGTTGTTGAAGCATGTGACCGCCTTGTCAAGGTCTTCAGTACCATTTGTAAGAAGAATTTTAAATATAAGAAACATCGGGCCTCGAAAGGCTTTCGCAAACCCTGGGTGATGGCCGAAATCCTAAAGAAAATAAACACCAGAAATAGACTCTTTAAGCAATTTGTTCGTGCGAAAAATCCAGAAATACTCTTACTTCTAAAGAAATGTCGTAATGAGGTAGCAAACTTACTTATGCGAGCTAAATCTACCTATTACTTTCACGTATTCAGCAATTTAAGTGCCAGTGTCAGTACACGAGAAAAGAATTAAACTCGATTTGAAGAAAAAAACGTTACCCTCTTCTAATATTGGAACACTAAAAATAAACGGGCAAGAACTCGGAGGAGTTGAACTAGCCAACAAATTTAATGATCATTTTATTAACTTAGTAGATAATGACCGCAGTAGAGTGAATGAAACACTGGTGTATGTATCGATATAAATAAATGAAAGTATCTTCTTTTATGCTATGGTTGTTTATATCAACACTAAGAATAGTAAAAGTCCCGATATTGTAGGCATTCAAATAAAACCCGTTAAATATGCGATTGCGGAAATTGCAGTTATTTTAACTCATTTGTTTAATCTATCGTTATTACAGGGTATTTTTCTTTAAAAATTGTAAATAGCAAAAGTGTCAATACTTTATAAATCTGGAGATAAAAATGATTTATCAAATTATACACCAATTTCTGTACTTCCGATATTTTCAAAGGGATTACAAAAACTTATACATTTTCGATCAAACCAGTTTTGTACAAAATTTTCAGTTGTTACAGATAATCAATTTACATTAACAAACGCGTGATCGACTGAACTTGCGCTGTTGAACATGAAAAGAATAATTATCAGACAGTTTGAAAATAAAATTTTAAAGGCAGGAATTTTGATCGACTTGTCGAAAGCCTTTGATCGGTTAAATCATGACATACTAATCAGTAAACTTTACAACTATTGCATTAGTTGAAATGCGGCGCGGCGTTAGTAAAAAGTTATTGGAGCTATCGTTCTCAAAGCATTCCCATCTGTGGACATTTCTCTGATCTAAAACAACTATAGGCAGGTGTATAACAAGCAGTTAAGACCTATTCTATTGAACCTATGTATTAACGTCATCATAAATATTTCACATAATGCCCAGATAATAACGCACGCGGACGACACGAGCTTACTTTTCAAGGAACAGACATAAATATTATTTCATCTAAAGTGAATAGCTTCCTCAATGTGCTTAGTCCGCGGGCACTGGTAAATTCGTTAAATATCAAAAAAAAAAAGGCCTGTTATTTCGCCCGAAAATTCTCTTTGCCAAATAGGGATATCACTTAAGTAAGATACATTTACCAATACAAGTTGTTCCAACGGTAAAAATACTAGGAGTGTTTTTTAACCAACACACGAGTTGGAACGAACATATAGAAGTTATTATGTCTAAATTATCAAAAAATAATAAGTCTTACTTATAAACGTCGTTTTTATTTGCCACAAAGAGTCAAGTTTTATATATATATATATAACTAATTGTTTGCTTCGCACTTAAAGTACTGTCCGCTTGTATGGGGCAACACGACAAAATTAAACCTACACAAAATAAACATCGCACAAAAAAAGAAAAAAAAAAAGGTCTCAGGTGTTTCGTAGCGAATGTACCATTAAATAGTCTTACCGTTATTTTATTCTCAAAATTTAAAGTATCCCGTGTTTTTGACTTATACACACAGACGTTAATCCAGAAATATAAATATAGTATTTATTATAATAGCAAATCATTCCCTCACTTAGCTTCGCTGATTGAAAACTCTTCGTTTTATCACACGCGTAGCCCAGAGCACTGGAGGGTGCGGCATCCCAGGACCAATTGCGGATATCAAATGCTCCACTATACTGCACCATCTACCATTAATGAACTCACGAAAACGGATATTCGCATTGAAAATATGCCAAAGAACCAAGTCAGACAATTGTATTTGAACAACAATTTATATTTTGGAAGTGCTGCTTTGTTCGTGATATCAAAAGCTGTATCCTGCTCCGCCGGCCGTTTTCTTTTTGATGATTGATGATGTAATGTAACCTTTTTGCGAGTGCTGACTAATCTTCCCAAGTCTGTATGGGAGGCAGGCACCTGTCAAGGCACGTAATGTTGCTGTTTTTCTCTGTCTTCTTCAAACTGGAGTCAAAAAAGATAAATTGAAAGTGAGATTAGAACTATCTACCCGACCTAACTTAGTCGGCGCCCCTCAAGAAATACCGTTCTACGTAGGCACAGCTTCTATCTAGGCACTTTAATTTAACAGGTTTGAAGGGAAGTGGTCTCGTTTTCACCCCGAGAACCGCAGTACGATAAATACGGCTCCGCGCGAAGCAGCACTAATTTCCGCCTTTAAATGGCGAATTCACATATTCGTACGAACATTGAAGATCAGTTATTCGGTATTTTATCAAAACGTAATGCACGTTTAAAACGCCGAAAAGTACCGTTTTTTTCCCCGACAACCATGTCTCGGAAGAACTGCCTTACGCAGCGTACAAACAATGCGCAAAGCTCGCTCTTTTTCATTTCTATTTTTTTTTTCTGACGCAACAATGCGTAGACATTAAAATAAAGAACAGCCAAGCGTACAAAAGACACCAGATTCGATTGTCATAAAACACTTTAATCCACGACTGACGCAACAAATTTCAAAAACTAAAATTATATATAATGTTTTTTGTTCGTAATGTTAATGGACGTGAACGCTACCGGTGCAACTTTCCGTGAACCACACCAGCGAGGGTACAGTGTCGTACTGGAGGAAAGGGAAAACAAAATAAAAATAATTACGCAGTTTATTTTTTTTAATACATAACTAGGAAGCTCGTGTGCTTCATACCTATGTAGGGATCGAACATGCCTGCAGGCAGGTTTTGCACGACCAGTGTGACATATTAGACAAAGTAGAAACACGTCTATACCTGCACACTGTCTCGTGTTGCACGATGCATTAGCTGTGCGAATGCGGCATTGAGAAACATGTTCGCGATGCTATAGGAAACGTCGACGAATCTACGTGGAGGGAGTGGACGCTCCGTTGTCCACTCCCTGGAGAACTGTGTGACTCGTTATCGAGAGAGAAGAGTCCTTCGAAGGACGCGGGGAAAGGTATGTCACCGCAGACGATAAAGGCTGTATAATCTATAGACCGACACACGGTCGACAAACGAGTCCGCCTTTGCGGACACCACGCGTACGGGCTCTGCGGGTGTTCGGGAACAAGATCCGTGTCGAGTGATCTCTGCGATCGTTCACCAGATCCCTGTCACACCGTCTACACTATGTTATTAAAAAGCAAAAAAAAGAAAAAAAAAAGAAAAGAACGAGAGCGTGTTGTTGTTGTTTAAGGCTTATTTACGAACGAAAGAATAAACACCTAGGATGGGGTACAAAACACGACATCTTGCAACTACGAAGCAACGAACAAGTACATTGTTCGTTCTTGTTTGTGGCCAGTCGAAAAATATCCTGTTCTGTGCTCCGTCCTATGAGGTTATTACTTCGTGTGTAACTGAAAAAAAATAATAATAATAATAATAAAAGCTATATCGTTAATTGCGGACGACAAACCGAGACGTCCACGCCGTTTACTTACAAGTTCGCATTTACCCGGATCTGGGTCGGGCGCGTCGAGTGACACGACCACGACGCGTCCGACCCGGTGCCCAGCGAGGTCCGCGGCAGGGCGACTCGCGCGCGAAGCCGCAGGTGCGCTCGAGGAAACAGCACCGCGCTGCGCGCGCCAGCCGCGCCGTCCGTGCCGCAGCAGCAGCGCCACGCGGGAGACGGAGAGGGCTCGAGCTACGCGCACTACGCGCGTCAAACCAGTGAGTCTCTGGCAATGCGCGCGCGATGTCCAGCCGCTGGCAGAGTCTCGCCCACCGGCTGTCCCCCGGCACGGGGGCCGAGCCGGAGTCCGTGGTGTCCCTGCTGCGGCACGGGGGTGCCAGCCAGGTGGCCGGGGCTAGGAGGTCCCTGACGGGGGCTTCGCTGCCCTGGCTCGAGCGATTCCTGTCCCTCGGGGGTCTGGAGGCCCTCTTCGGGGTCCTGGAGCGCTCCGGGTCCGCGTCTCTGAGGGACACCCTGCTCCAGGTGCACTGCGTGGACTGCCTGCGCGCCGTGATGAACGCACGCGCGGGTCTCGACTTTATCGTCCGGGAACCCCGCTACACACGCAAGCTCGCACACGGTCAGTCTCTTGCGGTTCATTATCCACGTTTCTGGGAGGGGCTGCACACCGAGTATTTGTTGGCGGCCCTAGGAAGTGCTCCTTATGCTGTGCGGTTCTGCGCGAGCTGACAGCCAGGGTTCGCCAGAGTCATCATTTTCCACCGTTACAAATGTTCGTGACAGGCGATAGATGACTATGACTTAACCGCGCATGAATACCTCCTATACTATTGGCTTGAGTACTTTGTGTATGAAATTCTTTAAAAAAAAAGGGGGGGGGGGGAAGGGGGGGAATGTTGGTTGATAAATCACTCGTGATTTTCTTCTCGCTAATTCACACTCGAGCACCAGTTCGAGAAAGTCGGGCGGTGGCGCTGGCCGGATGCGGTCTGCGGGGAATTTGTCGAGAGGGGGACAGGGCCTCTCTCGGCGCGCTAGACAGGTTGCCCCACGTGAGTACGGCGAGGCGTAACCCCCGCGAGATTACGAAACAACTTTCTAGGTCGCTCGGGGAGGGAAAACGCGGTTCGCCTTTCGGCGTCGTCGACGGCCTTGACCGTGCCTTGTGTTACGCGACGATCGCGGCGGCAGCGCCACTGCACCTGACTGCACTCCGTTCCACCCCAAGTCAGACCGCGTCCGATGCAATCCGGTCCGACATACAAGCAGCGTAAAATGCGCGTCGTCACGGCGCCCGTCGTCCTCGCGTGTCTCCTATCCCCGGCTAAAGCAATCATGCGCAACAAGCATCTCGAGATCGCGGCGATTTCACATTTCAAACATACAAAGGCGACCATTGCCGTCACGTTACATTTTCGACGCTACTCGGTCAATTCTATTAAAGTCCCTGGATAAGAGCTTCCTCCAAGTAGCGACATTTTTCGAAGCGCCGACTGTATGACGGTGCAGGTTTTAGGAATCGAATGGGCGGCGCACACCATAGGGTTTGAACTGAACGCCGCCATTTTGTTCCAGAGGAATCTGCTGTGTCATTTGTATTGGTTGTCGTTACTCGTAAAAGAAGTGTAAAGGGACTTTAGGTTCCATCGGGTCGTGGCGGCGGCTTGCTTAGGTCGGACTTGAGGCTCGTTCATACAGTGGCGTTCGAGTGCGACTGCGACCACTCGCGCCTCGTTAAGACAGCTTTGCGCCGAGCTGTTGCTATGGCCACACGTACGACGAGCCAACAGGAAGGCGCTGAGCTGCACGATCCGCAAGGTAACCCAACGCGGTCGACGCAGATCGTGCGAACCAGCCGACGGAGTATAATGTCACCAGCCGAGGCCGCTTCGTGCGCGCTGCTTTTAATTCGGGATCCCGAACGAGAGTCTGCGCCGGCCGCAGCTGGCGATTTATGACGGGCCCCAGCTGCGACTGACGCGAACTCGTGAGCCATCGCTCGGAGACGGCTGCGGCCGGAGCCCCAGGCGGAGACTCGACGGTGCCGACCGCCGGCCTCTCTTCGAACCAGGGTCGGTCAGTCGGTCGGCCCCGTATCGTCGAGAAGGCCCGCGCTTGACGTCATCGTTATGGTGCTTCCCCGACCCGCTGCAAGCGGCACACAACGCTCGCCTAGAGTCGCCGCAAGTAGCAGGCGCGTCCGGGCGACTCCGTGCGTTAGCGTCGCGCTCTTTGGGAGACGCTGCAAGATGTGCTGGCAGCGGTGCTAACGCGAGCATAGGCGGCGCTGCGTGGGTCAACTACTGATGACGTTTGGGAGGGATGGGCGCGGGCCTTGTCTTTTAGGTGGTGTTGGTCTGCCGCGTATGGGGAGCGCAATTTCGTCTGCTTCTTTTGCAGGGGTTCTGGTGACGTCGGAACGCCGAGTTTTGATTGGCTCTGATTGAAGGATAGTGGGTAGACTTCAAGGCAGCTTGCTCTGAGGTCTACCTACTGTCCTTCAATCAGAGCCAATCAAAGCTCCGCGTCTTTCTGACGTCACCACAGCTCCTCCAACAGAAGCAGACGAACTTGCGCTCCACGTTCACCTCTCCCCTTCTTGTTTTAAAAGTTGTTTGCTACCTATCGCGAGAAACGGCACGGTGACCGACTTGGGCCCGTTTGCTCGAAGCTGGTTAACTTAAACCGCGGTAAAAAGTTAACGGCATTTCCCTACGAGGGGGAATATTAGGTCACGTGAACGGCAGAGTAAGGACGGCAGGGAAACATGGCGGTGCCCCTGCGAGCGAGCGTCGCTCGCTTTGGGACGAATATGTCGTAGTGGCTGCAATGTCGGGCGCGTTAGTCAGCAAGGAATGGTGCAGGAGGCTTTCGCTTTGCCTTACCCCACTTAAATATCAAAGCACGAGCAATGACCTCGCCGTATTTTTTTAGATATGTCTTTCGATTTGGCCATTACTAAGCTTAAATGACCGCGGTGATTGTCTGTATGGTACGTACACCTTTGGAATAGTATAGTGGATTGCCTTGACTCAATCGGCCGGGTGTTGATAGCACGCAGAAGCAGACAGCGTCCCAACTGGCGACGTGCGCGACCGAAAGCGTCGCTGTGGTCGGCCTTCCGCGATTGGCCGAATGCTGACTATGACGTCAGCAAAGGATTTCTCATCGACGGAAATAAGAGGAATGGAAGAACTTCAATTTCGACGGTGTTGGTAGCGTTGCTTCAAGAGCGCAATGATTTCAAGCTTCCACCATGCTCCTTACAAACACCATCGAACTTGTTGTTCGCAAGGTAGTGACGTCACGAAAGGGAACCATAGGAGGGCGCCACTAAAACATCTCGCCAGGGGGATCGGTGGCCGAGTGGTCTAGCGCACACCAGCTCGGAGCACGTGGAGCGAAAGCTCGCGCTGCAGAACCCAGGGATCCTGGGTTCGAGCCCCACCCCTGCCCGTTTCGATCTGGATGAGCATCGTACCGGCGTGCGGTCGTGTACCACTACTGCGTGATGCACGTTAAAGACCCCAGGCTAGCGGCTGTACCGCACTGGCTAAATTTCTCATCTACAGCTGGGAGACTCGTCGCCCCTGTGAGGCAGACCAAGTTGTATAAACACACACACAACCCAATTATTATTAAAACATCTCGCCGCAAATAGACCTTTTGCTAAAGTTCCCACGCACCAAGGTGCATGCTACGAGTGCAGTTAGACGCGCTGCACGTTCTGGCGTCTGCAGTAGTAACTGTTTTAAAGCAAAAAGCCTAAAACAAAATTTGCCTTGCACGCGCGTTCGTCGAAACCTTATTATGATTATTTACTTCGAATCTTTTATACGCGGAAGGCCAGCGCGCGCGGAGCGTAGAATTACACTTTGAGCATTCTCCTCGACGCTTGGTTAATCTAGTAATAGGTCTATTTTCACTGGAGCCGAATTACACGGTTTCCAATTTATAAGGGTGCTATACACAGTTCTTACACGCTGGTCAACCATGCTGCAGGTGTACTGCCTTCCTTTCACTGCTCACTTCTTCCTCATCGTTTGTCGTAGTCCTGTCGTCCTCTTTCGAACTTGGAAGGAAATTTCAACGAGGCTTGTCTTCACTTCAGACAGCCAAACATTTAGAAATTTTCGAAACAAGGATTAATTTAGTTTGACCTTACCCAATATCTGTACCACGAGCAACAGTGTTTCTTAAGCTCAAGTAAATGCCGCGCTGCGTCGCGAAAACCCGGCACCGCGCGTTCTTGGGTCTCCCCTTTTCGGGAACTTTTCCAAAAAAGCCACTTATATTCGCAACAACCAGTAGGTGACACCAGCTACCACCCCATAATAAAACACGGAGCTATCGCTTATCCAGGCCTCGTCAAACTTGGCTAGACACTTGTAGGTACCTTGTGGAAAAGCGGTTAACTTTTCAGGGATCACCGTGACAATCTGGCGAACAGCTGACAGAACTTTTCCCGGCGGCGCGTTCGCTGTGCGCGTGGCGTCAACGCTGCAGTCGTTATTCCAACATATATAGAGGTGACAGGTTAAGGACCTGTAGTGGATGCTCCGCCTCCTGCACACGCTCGCTGCCTTCCTCCTGTTTGCGCTGCGTGTGCAACTAAGTGTTATTATGGCTGCCGGTCCCTATAGGCAACCGAAAGCCTCGCTGTGGTAGGCTTTCCGCGGTTTGGAAAAAACGCTCACTACGGCGTCTTTAGTGGTCTTGACCCTGATTTCGTTGTCGGGAATAAGAGAAGCGTCAGATTGTCAACTTGGGCGGTGTTAGTTTTAGGAATGCGATAACTTCTAGCTTCCACCGTGCTTTTTGCACACACCATATAGAATTTGTCATTGGAATTAATGTCAACTAGAAGCTCGATCGTCTGCTTCTTTTACAGGGGTTGTGGTGACGTCAGAACGCCGAGCTCTGATTGGTTCTGATTGAAGGATAGTGGGTAGACCTCAAGGCAGCTAGAATTGAGGTATACCCACTATCCTTCAATCATAGTGTAATGCGATATGTAATATTTTGCATCATGGTGTAATACGCCAAATGCGTTTTCGTCCGTGTTGTTTTGGCGTATTACACCATGGATGCGGGGCAACAAACGTTCTCAATGAGTTGAGAAACCACATCCGCGGCACACGGTAACACAAGACGCACCCTAAATAAAACAACTAGCACTTTCGAGCAGTCAACTAGCACACCCAACGCGGGAGTGGCGCCCACAAGAGCACTTTCGCCAACGTTTCTAATCCCTCAGCATGGCCGCGGAACCTGACGCTCGCTGGATGGCGCTGCAGTATTCAAAATGGCGCTACCTACGATAAAACGGTCTACCGTTTTATCGTGGGACGATCGAAGGCAGCTCACTCCAGTTTGAAGGTGTTTATAAACGTTTTATTTGAGGATCACGTCTCGACGACTGTGTCTTTTGTCGAGAACTGAAAACAGCAATGTCGAGATGGGCCTATTGCCGGAGCGAGTCGACCAATGATTCAACGATTCGAAATCAATGCATGTGCATGTTTCAACTTCCAGCAACAGAAATTGAAGGTTTCTTTCCAGCTACATTATTTACTAGTTGTGAAAATAAGAAGAATCTAGTCGCTTTCTGACGGTCAA